CGCAGGGCTTGGGTGCGCAAGAGGGTGCCCTTCCCGAGTCTGCCCACCTGCTGTCTGCAGCCTCCGCTTAGCAAGATGTTGTGGAAGCGGCTGCTGGAGACTCGCCATCGCGGGGCCCAGATAGTTCTCAAAAAAAGCACCCCTTCTCACTTTTCAGATCTTCAGCACCACCATCCACACACCAAAGAACAGCAGCAACCACCACAAATGAAATCTTGTAACAAAACTGGAACAAACCAGCGCAAGAGCATTTGCATGTCTAGTATTTTTCCTCTTAGGTTTTGCACGTCTATGATCTCACTTACCCCTCTTAAAGCTCTTCAAGTACGATTCGGTGGTTGTTATTAACCTCATGATTCTGCACAGGTGGGCTGCAGACAAGTGAAATGATTTGCTGGTGGAGGAGACCGGGAGCCAGATCCCAGAAGCTTTACCAGACTAGATTCCAAAATTCAGCCCCCGTTGTCCCGAGAAGGATGGAAGATTAAACTCCCCTCAAGCTAATTAGCAGAGATTTCCCTGGACCAAGGATCATGAAGGAAGGTGACTTTCAGAAACCCCACCATTTTCAAATGATGAAACTGATTTAGAGAGCAAGTTACTCCATCAGTATTAAGCAACTAGATAGAAACATAGCTATGTCCAGAACCCAGGCTATCTACCTATGAGAATAAGGGAATTCACTGGGCCTGGGCCTGGACCTGATTTCTGCCAAATCCCAGGGCAAAGACAGAGGCGAACGACTTGAAGAATGAGAACTAAGCAGTATTTAGAAAAAGAGAAAGGAAAGAGAGTGATGAAAGGAAGTGGAGGGTTTCATCCCCTAGCCCTCTAACTGGGGCCCCCTCCTTACTTCCACAGCCGGTCTGGCAGAGGGCCAGGAGGGAGGGTATTGAGAATTGCAATATAAACCTCTGAGATTTATTGGCTGCTGCTTCTGAATATGGCCATCCTGCTGTGGCCTCTGGGGGGCATTTGCCGATGTAATCAGCCCAGAAAGAGAGTCATTCCAGCTGGGGGTGTAAATCACCCTTCACAAAGCTAAGAGAGAGACATGTGGCCCTAGATAAGGAAGGAGACTGATGTGGCCTCTGTGCCCTTCCCTCCCTTCTCCTGCCCAAGGGGAGCTGGTTCTTGAGCTGTAATGCACTTTAAATGGAGTTTGTGCTTCGTTTTAATCTATATCTCCCCTGCCAGTTTTACAGGAGAGCTGTGAACATCTGGCTACGCAGCTTTTGTGGAGGGTCTGCTCTCCCCTAGCTCCACCCTACCTCTGTGTACCTACCTGTCCCAAGCCCTCCCCTCCAGGAAGGCTAGGAAACGGAGGCTGGGGAGTCCACAGCCCCACTGACAACAGTTTCAAAGTGGGATTTAGAAAGCAAAATGGTCCAGATGTAGTGGCTCACACCTGTGATCCCAGCACTTTGGGAGGCCGAAGTGAGAGGATTGCCTAAGCCCAGGAGTTCAAGACCAGTCTGGGTAACTTGGTGGAGACCAAGTCTCTACAATAAACAACAATAACAAAAAATTAGCTAGGAATGGTGGTTCATGCCTGTAGTTCCAGCTACTTGGAAGGCTAAGGTGGGAGGATTGCCTGAGCCCAGCAGGTCGAGGCTGTGGTGGCTGTGAGCATGCCACTGCACTCCAGCCTGGGCAACAGTGAGACTCTGACTTGGAAAAAAAAAAAAGAAAGAAAGAAAACAAAATGGAATGATTTCAGGGGGTTGGGATGCTAGAAAAGGGCTGAGACCCATGAGCCAATAAAGACCGGGCTGGTCAAGGGGCATCACTACTGCCTTCTCACCCCTCTAGCAGCCAAGCCAAATTAGGTTTGGGATAGGAAGGGGGCTGTGGAACGGCATTTGCTCAGGTGCCTACTAAAAGTGTCTACTCAGTGCTATCCTCACGGAATGGACCAAGAATGCAGAAACAGGGTCAAGCTGATGGACTGGGAACAATGCCCAATTCCCCCCGTAAGAGAGAAATGAGGTGCCTGTAGCATATCTCTATCTTGGTTTTGGGGTGGAGTGCCTGACATCATTGGGCCTTTGAGGACTGGTAACCAAGGCTGGAGGGTGGAGGAAGCCTCTGCAAATAAATATGACTCCAATACTAATATTGACAGCCCTTCAGCACACCCTCTCCCCACCAATCCTGTACTCTATGATTGCCAACACCTGCTAGATAAGCAGCCACTGGGAGCCTTGTGGATCACGACAAATGAGCCAGTCCTTTCTACAAAGATGATGTGACTCGGCCATCATTCAACGTAATGTCTTTTGAAGCTGATTATGGGCCCGGCTTTGTGCTAGGTGCAAAATGATTAAGACTAAACCCTGCCCTGAGAAGGCATTGCAACCCACTGATTGAGGTTCAAAGGCCCAAAGACCCTGTATCTTACTTCTCTTTCACTTGTAATCTTGATTTTCTCCTCTTATGGTCAAACTGTAGAGATTCTGCCTTCTCTCATGTTCTCTCTTCCTGTTTAACTTTAATTCCTGCTACTATCCTGATCCAGGGTGATAGCAGTATTATGAGTAGTTAAGACCACAAGCTTTACAGGCTGCCTCGGTTCAGATGCCATTTCCAATACTTGTTGGGTAACCTTGGGCAAGTTGCATAATTTTTCTGTGTTTCCATTTCTTCATCTGTAAGATTAAGGATAATAGTACCTGCTGGTGTGGTGGCTCATGCCTGCAATCCCAACACTTTGGGAGGCAAAGGCGAGAGGATTGCCTGAACCCAGAAATTCGAGACCAGCCTGGACAAGGCGAGACCTCATCTCTACAACAAATCAAAAAATTTAGCTGGGCGCAGTGACTCAAGCCTGTAATCCCAGCACTTTGGGAGGCTGAGGTGAGAGGATTTCCTAAGTCCAGGGGTTTGAGACCTGCATGGACAACTTGGTGAGACCTCGTCTCTACAATAAATCAAAAAATTAGCTGGGCGTGGTGGCGTACGCCTTTGGAAGGCTGAGGCAGAAGGAGTGCCTGAGCCCAGCAGGTCGAGGCTGTGGTGGCCATAAGCATGCCACTGTACTCCAGCCTGAGCGACAGAATGAGACTCCAACTCAAAAAAAAAAAAAAAAAAAAAAA